GTTCTAGATGGAGCTCAGGATTCCACCTAAGGTCCTATATACTACAAAGGCTCCACAATAAGCCTATTTCACTGGGCAAGTTCTAGAACCCCTTTTAGGTATTTCAACCAGTTATATACTGAAGACGGGTATACAGGCTTTCTGTAATCATGCTTCCTGATATTCCTTTCTGTCCCACTCGTGTCTGTTTTACAGTAGTTAGTAGGCAAGGGACACCTACCTAAGTGTTCCCTTATCTACCTTGTTCTTCCACCCCTCCCCTTCTTGTGTATTGTCCTCCCCTTCCTTGTATATTGCCCTTCCCAACACCCAAACTATGAAGGGAAGGGGAATACACAAGAAGGAGCAGAGGGTGAAAGAACAATGTAGATAGAGAAACACTTAGGTAAGTTTACATGAGCTAAATGGGACAGAGATAAACAGTGATGTATGCTCAACCTTGGAACAACAGGGTCCTGTGACACAAGAATTGACGCACAGTCTGAATGGGTAAAAGAGGGGAAATAATGTTAAGATACTTGACTGTCTTACGGATATTGGCTTCCCGTGCCTACTATTGTAAAATAGTTCACATATAATTGTTCATATATGAGCTCTTGCTGAAGCTGAAGAAAATTAAAACAAGACTAGAAGAGCCAAAATCATTGGAAACTATCATTAATACCAAGTGTGAGTAAAATTTTGCTAAAGGTAATTTAAAAATAGTGTCAGTAGTACATTGACACAGAACTGCCAGAAATTCAAGCTGGATTCAGAAGAGAATGTGGAGCTAGGGGTATTACTGCTTACGTCAGATGGATCTTATATGAGAATGAGAATACCAGAAAGATGTTTGTGATTTATTGATTATGCAAAGACTTTCAATTGTATGGATCACAACAAAAAATGGGTGACATTGTGAAGATGGATGTTCCAGAACACTTAATTGTGCTCATGAGGAACTTGTACATAGACCAAGAGGCAGTTGTTAGAACAGAAAAAGGGGAAGCTGAATGGTTTAAAATCAGGAAAGTTGTATGCCAGGACTGTATTCTTTCACCATACTTATTCATACTTACATGAGGAACGTGGCATCAGGATCAAAGGAGGACTCATTAATAGCCTGTGATATGCAAATAATACAGTCTTGCTTACTGAAAGCAAAGAGGACTTAAAATATGTAATGATATTGGATTGCACCTCAATATAAAAAAACAAAAATCCTCACAGTTGGACTGATAAGTAACGTAAAGATGGAAGAACATTGAAGTTGTTAATTCATTTTGCTTGGATCCACAATCAACACTCATGGAAGCAGCAGTCAAGAAATCAAAGGACATAATGCATCAAGCAAATCTGCTACACGAGGCCTCTTTAAAGTGGTTAAGAACAAAGGTATTAGTTTGGGCACTAAGGTATGTCTGACCCAAGCCATGGTATTTTCGCATGTGAAAGTTGGACAATGAATAAGGAAGACCTTAGAAGAATTGATGTACTTGAATTATGGTGTTGGAGAAGAATATTAGAAGTATGGTGGACTGCCAGAGGACAAACTAATCTGTGTTAGAAGAAGTACAGCCAAAATGTTCTTTGGAAGACAGAATGGCAAGACTTCATCTCTCCTACTTTGGACATTATCAGGAGGGTCCAGTCCTTATAGAAGAGCATGATGCTTGGTAAAGTGGAAGGTCACTGAAAAATAAGAATACCCCCAAAGAAATGGATTGATACAGTGACAGTAGCAATGCGTTCAAACATAACAATTGTGAGGATGGCGCAGGATCAGGCAGTGTTGTGTCATGCATACGGTTGCTGTGAGTCAGAACCAACTAGACAGAACCTAACTGCAATGACACTATATCCCACCTAAATTTAGAGATCATCTGAAGAACAGATTTGATGTATTAGACACTAATGACCAAAGACCAGAAGAGTTGTGGAATGATAACAAGAACTTCATACATGAAAAACACAAAAGGTCATTAAAAATATAGCTAAAAAAGAAAACACCAAAGTAGATGTCAGAAGAGACTATGAAACTTGCTTTAGAACATAGAGAACCAAAAGCAACTGGAAGAAATGAGGACGTAAAAGAAATGAACAGAAAATTTCAAAGGAAAGCTTGAGATGACAAAGTCAAATATTATTATGAAATTTGCAAAATCTTGGAGTTAGAAAAATGAAAGTAAAGAACATGCTCAGTATTTCTGAAGATGGAAGGAATACGGAATACACAGTCACTGTACCAAAAGGAACTGGTCAGTGTTCAATCATTTCATCAGGTACAGGATCAACAACCATTGGTTTTGAAGCAAGAGTACATGTAGCACTGAAGGCATTGATGAAAAACAAGTCTGCAGGAATTGATTAAAGCACCAATTGAAATTTTTCAATAAACTGATGCCGCACTGAAGGTTCTTGTCTATCTCAAGAAATTTGAAGGACAGCTACCTGACAGGTGGTTGCAAGATATCCATATTTGTGCCCATTCCAAAGAAAAGTGAATCAATAGAATGTGGAAATCAACTAATGATATCATTCATTTAACATGCAAGTAAAATTTTACTGAAGATAATTGAAAAATGATTACAGCAGCACACTAACATAGAGCCACCAGAATTCAAGCTGGATTCAGAAGAGGACATGGAACGAGGGTTATCATTGCTGATGTCAGAAGGATCTTAGCTGAAAGCTGACTACCAGAAAGGTGCTTACTTGTCTTTTATTAATTAAGCAAAGGTATTTGACTATGTGGGTTATAACAAACTATGGATAACACTGAGAAAAATGGGTATTCCCGATTACTTAATTGTGTTTTTGAGAAACCTGTACATAAGCTAAGAGTCAGACATTAGAACAGAACAAGGGAATACTGAATGGTTTAAGTCAAGAAAGGTGTACCCCAAAGTTCCATCCTTTTACCATACTTACTCATGTTGTATGTTGAGCAAATAATCTAGTAAATTGGATTATATGAAGAAGAATGAGGCATCAGGATTGGAGGAAGACTCATTAACAACCTGTGCTATAAAGATGACAACTCTGCTTGCTGAAATCAAAGAGAAATTAAAATACTGATGAAGATCAAAGACTACAACCTTCAGTATGGATTATATCTCAATGTAAAAAAAACACCCAGAAATCTTTATAAGTGGACCAATAAACAGCATCCTGATAAATGGAGCAAGTATTCAAGTTGTCGAAGACTTCCAGTGTGCTTGGATTCACAGTTAATACTCATGGAAGAAGCATTCAAGAAATCAAACAACCAATGTATGCATTAGATACATCTGCTGCAAAAGATCTTTTTTAAAGTGTTCAAGAGCAAAGATGTCAGAGAACTAAGGTGCTCATGGTATTTTCCTATTCATGTGAGAGTTGTACAAAAATTAAGAAAGACCATAGAAGAATCAGTGCATTTAAATTAAGAAAGACCATAGAAGAATCAGTGCATTCAAACTATTGGCAAAGAATATTGAAAGTTCTGTGGACTGCCAGAAGAACAGACAAATCTGTCTTGAAAGCAGTACAGCCAGAATGTTCTTTAGAAAGGAGGGTGTTGAGACTTCTTTTCTCATGCTTTGAACATATTGTCAGGAGTGACCAGTCCCTGGAGAAGGATGTAATGTTTTAGAAAAATGGAGGGTCATCACAAAAGAGGAAGACCCCCAACAAGGGTGGATTGACAGTACCATAATCAATGAGCTCAAACAGAACAACAGTTGTGAGGGTGGGGCAGGACCAGGAAATGCTTCATTTTATGAGTTGCAATTCACGATGAGTTGGAAATGGACTGATGCCACCTAACAACAAACAACAGTAGCCTAAAATAATACCTTAAATGGATACATTCTCGTTGACTTCTGACCATTATACTTTTATTATCCCATTTTGAGATTAGGGACAAAATCACATCACATGCTTCTTTGTAGACATAACAGAACAAATGTATAAAAATCCACAGATAGCCTGTAAAATCAGAATATTTTTATGTATACTGTTGGAAACTTATAAATGTGGTTATTTCATTAGATTCATGGCTAAGAGGAAGCACACAGGCTGGTTGTGTTTAGCGCAATGCTGTGCTGGGAGCACCTCACTGACTCTTTGCCATGTACCGCATGACTGTTGTCTGTGAGAGTCAGTGGCAGGCATATATTCTTTTCCCGCTTCTGAGTTGATGACTCTAACTCTTGGTACATGAAAGCCCAGTTGACACCTGGTTGAGGTTGTAGGTTGTCTAGATATTATTTTAGGACCCTTTATAACTAGAATTAATTTTTCACAAAGAGGATTATGTATTTAAATTATCTTTACAGTTTTAATTGTTGAATTAGTCCTGTGACAATGATCATTTGGTAGATAAAGTTGAAATTTTGGAAAAAAGCTAGTTCTTTTCTAAGTTATTAGTGAATAACAAATAGCTAGAGTCTGCAGTTAAAATATGTGAGTATATTATACAATTGATCAAATTTTTTAATCATTCATTCATACATGTTAATGACAATTTATTAGTAGTCAGTAATGCCAAATATAGTTATAGGAACATCATGGATTTTTTTTAAGCTTTCTTTCTACCTTCAATTTTTAAAATCATCTTTTATTAATTTTTGTTTACTGAGGTTAAATTACTTTTATAGATTGTGTTTTAATTTTGAAGCTAGAAAATCATGCAAGTGGAAGTGATAATATCATTGTTTTTTAGTTAAGATGTGAAAAGTAAGATGGTTCTTTTTTATTTTGTTCCAAATCAAAAGGAGTGTATCTGTGGAAAACATAAGAACTCTAAAGTTTCACAAATAGTGTATTGTTGTAGCCAGCAGGAATATAATTAAAAGTCCATATTGTAGGAGACAAAACCATCATAATCCCAACCAGCCTTGCTGTAGCTCTGTACACAACCTACCATTAGCCTACCATTTTAAAAAGATGAATTTTGGGGGCCTAGATTAATACCATTAGGTTCCTCTGCCATTGCAAAACAGTAAAGACAAAAGCACTCACGATCTTAATATTCACAGGACTGTGCTAAAGAATAATGATTTAAGATCAAGACAAGAGTTAACTGCCCACCTCACCAACCAGTGGCCTTCCCCAGGAGCTCTGGATGTCAATGCTGTTGCCTTGGATACGTTGCTTTACCGAAAACACAATAAACAGTGGTATGAGTAAGTGTAATACTTTTTTTTTCCCCCAACTAATTACAAATTTAGTATCAAGACCATATAGCTACTTACTTTGGTTTCTCAGTTTCTCTTTCTAAATTCATTGTTAGTTTAAGATAAAAGTAGGATTTAATACTACTTTGGCTTGGTAAGGTTAGACTGAGGCATTGAGTATGTTAATGTTTTAGAGCTAAGGAACTCTGGGAAATTAAAATATCTGAAAAGTTGTTGTGTAGTAATGTTCCAGTTCCCAATTCTCACTACCATTTCTTCAGTTCTTCTGTTTTCAATAAATCTTTGAACTTGTGTTTCATGAGCCATCTGTTTTTTTTTTTTTATTCTATTTTGCTATTGTATTTGCTTTAGGATTAATTTTCCTGCTATAAAGTTAAAAAACAAAATTTCATCTTATGAACGAATAGACATTTACTTGTTCTTATTGAGTCTGGAATAACTTTGCTTATTTTCAGTAAATCTAATTTTTAGCTATACGAAATATAATCATTAGACCTAGGAATCATAGACCCTTTTTCTATTTCCTTATTCTAATGTTCAGAACTCCTGCATTTAGTTATAGTGCCCTACTGTTGAGAGAGCTACAAAGTCTTAGACCATGTTAGATAATCTTCACTTTAGAATTTGTATAATGTATTTACCTTCTTTTGGTTTTTAGTCACTTTAACATCATAGCCATTTTTTTTTCAGTATCTTTCAATTGTTTGTTAATTTTCTGCTTTTTTTAATCCCCGTTTTCTTCTTTATTCTCTTTTGTTCTATCCTGCCCCTTTCCTTCTTTCTCTTTCTTTCCTCCCATCTTCTCTCCCTCTCTCTTTTTGTTTTGTTCCCTGTTCTTCTAGAGTCCTCGTTTTAAATTTTAACTGATGGAAGCCTTCTACTTGTGTTTCTTAGTATACCTTTTACTGGGAAATTAATAGGCATTGCTACAAGGAATGTTTTAGTGCAGACATAACTTCTTACCTACTTCACTCTGATTTCTTTCACATGTCAAAGTCAGAACTGAAATTAGTTGTTATTCCAGATCTTTTGTTATTAGAATTGCTATGGACTTTGATGCATTTTTAAAATTTTATTGTTGAGCAACAAATAGAAAAAAATGAGCAGATATTTATATAACAGATATGTAGAACTTTCTTAAACTTCTACTAAATCAACCTTCTTAGCATGATTCAAGGTGTTGACATTGAGTCTTTTATGGACTGGGAAATGGTTCCTTTGTATACCTTTATCAAAATTATGAGAACCACAGTATATCTTACTCTTCTATAATTTTACCTTTTTGTGCCATGTTTAGTAGAATATTTTATTTGTATTTTTAATTTAGATTGAGAATTTGAATTTATAGAAATAATTTAAACATATATCTTATTACTCCTTTTTAAAATGCAAAAATATTGTAACAAATTATTACGTTCAGATAAGTTAAGAGACTGCCCATTACTCCAATGTCCACACTGCCACTTTAGGTACTGGAACGTAAAATGTTTTTCAAAGAAGGCATGTACTCCTACTTGTCTACAGAGCTACCTGTTGAGAAGCCAATAAGGAATTTAAGGTGTACCAGTTACCAATTCTCACTATCAGAATTCTCACTATAAGGTGGAACATTTATTTATAGTAGTATATCTCTGCATGAAGTAACAGTGACTGATTTTTACATGGTATTGTAGCAGCAGAAAAAATTAAGTGCCTCAAAACAGAAGGCAGGAAAAGTTTCTGTTCATGTTTTGCATGGGTCCAAAATCTATACTTTCCAACTTACTCCATTAGCTTAAGAAGGAACACCCCTTTCTTCTTGCAACATACTTTACTAGCCTGTTCTTAGATGTTGGTATTACTGTTATATGTTCCTTATTGCCAAACTGGTATCTCTGAACAAAAAAATTATATAGCTTCAGTGTAGTACAGAGAGCACTGGACCTGGAGGTAAAAGTCAGGACTTGTAATAATATATTACTTATTTGCTGTGAGCATTGCTTTCTCCCGCCCTTCTATTTCCGTATGTGTATTACTCAGGATCATGCTTGTGTAGCAGAATGCTAAGATTCAAATGAAATAATTGTGTGGCACATCATAGGTGACTTAGGAAATCTTATTTATATTTTATATAGCCTTTTGGAGTCCTGGTGTGGCACTGCAGGATAAGCACTGGACTGCAAGGTTGGTTTGACCTGAAAGGCAGCAGTTCAAACCCACCAACCACTCCTCAGAAATCCTGTATAGCAGGGGTGGGGAACCTTTTTTCTGTCAAGGGCCATTGGATATTTGTAACATCATTTGCTAGCCATACAAAATTATCAACTTAAAAATTAGCCTGCTATATTTGGTCAAACATTTAATTAACTCACTCCTAATAGGATGGCTGGAACTGCTTCTCTTTGGTGAGGCATTTGATTTTAGCTGGTATTGATGCTACTGCTACTTGCAACTGCGTTTCTAGGTTTGCATTGGTAATCTATAGCACAGTCGACTGTTTGCGATGGTAAGTTTGGAAAAGAACTGTTCACAGCAGTAAGTTGTTTTGAACACAGATATATATTTCAATGCATGTCTCCTCAAAGTGGGAAATTCATCATTGCTTGTGTAATGTTTGTAGAACTCAAGCAGTGGGAGGTTATTGTAACTAGCTTTCAGCTCATCATTGCTTTGCAGCTGAATAATTTCATGTTGTAGGTTATTAGACGCATCAACTGGTTCTACATTGAATGGTATAACAAAGATGTTCAGTTCCATTTATTTACTTTTCACATCCTTGAATCTTTCATTAAATGCCTCAATTAGTTTCCCACATTCACCAGCATATTCAAGGGCTGTAGAAGGCATTTGGCCTTCCAGAGTGAGGAAATATGCCGTGTTATTCCTTTTGAGTTGTACTTTCCACAGCCTTAATTTAGCTTTAAATGATTTCATGTTTGAAATCAGGGAGCCGAGAAGCTGGTTGCGGCCCTGCAGCTTGACATTCAACTCTGAAAGGTACTTGGTGATGTCCACCATGGGTCAGAACTGACTCAATGGCAGTTTAACAACAACAATCACGAATACTAGAGCACACAGTCACTTGCTGTCATTGAGTTCCCTGATAGGTTTTCCCTTCATCTTGAGTTCATTCCTCAGTTCATAAAACCTCACAAGCTTGTTCCTTCAATTCAGCCACCACACTTCACAGTGATAAACAAGGTCACCTCCGAACTCAGAGTCAAAATCACTCAGTAACTTCTTAAACTGGCGGTGGTTAAACCTTCTGCTTTTGACAGAACTTATAACATGACATTGCTGTTGACATCACACTGTTGAGCTGCAATGATTGTGCATAGAAACTTTCTTGGTATATGATGCCGTGGCATATAACTAAATCATTTGAATCAAGACTAGATGATTCAGTCCTTTCTTAACAAATGCAATTAACCCTTTTTGCAAACCAAACATGGCTGGAGCTCCATCTATAGTAAGGCCACTTAACTTTTCAAATGTTAGCTCAAGCTTTTTCATTGATAAAACAAGTCCTCATCTCCCATAGTGCCAGGCATGGCTTCCAGTGACAGCATTTCCTCTCGTGTGTCAAACTCTCTAGTTATCCTATGAGCGAACATGTCCAGTTGTTATTTCCATTGTCTTGTCACAAGTCAGAGAGAAAAATTGGAAATCTTCTGCAGAATCCTTCAGTGTTATTTCAATATCTTGTGCTAAATCAATAATCTGATCTGAGATGGTTCTCCAAGACAAACTAACACTCTGAAACACCTTGTACTCTTTCACAATCTCTCCCTCTACTTGAGGACTCAGCTTCTTTGAGATTAGCTCCTCACTACCTAGCTCATCTGAATAACATTTGTTGTGATTCTGAACTCTGCTGGAAACCAAACTCTGATCATATGGATGAGCCACACTGGGACTCACCATAACCCTTACCCTATATCAACCCTAAACCTACCCACTCATGACCTACTATGTAGGCTTTTAATTTTTTAAATGACTTCCTCTTTAATGTTTCTTATCCATTTCCATTGTATTAGGAGCTTTCTTTTCCATGTGTATCTTTCTAACATTTCTCACTGTAGGAATTGAGAGGCAGCAAAAAATCTTTCGTAGTTTGTAAGTTTTGCATTGACATGACTCACATGTATCCTTCCTCATCAGGCTATCATGCATTATTCTATTTATTTTGCTAAATTAAGAGAATATCAATATTCTGCTATGCTGTTTTTACTGTCATTGAATCAACTGTGACTTGTGATGGCCTTATATAGGAGTACAGCACAACCAAACACTGTCCAGTCCTGTATCATCCTCACAATCATCAGCATGTTCGAGTCCATCATTGTGGTGATTGCACCACTCCATCTCCCTAGGGGACTGCCATATACTTCTGGCTCTCTACATTTTACCAGACATAATGTGACTGATTCCTCCTGATGATGTGTCCAAAGCAAGCAAGGTGGATTGTGTTCTGTTGTGATCAATAAAGTTTTCAAAAAGGAGCCCTGGTGATGCAGTGGTTAAGCATTTGACTGCTAACTGAAAAGTTGGTTCTTTGAACACACCCAGAGGTTCTATGGGAGAAGGATGTGGTGGTTGACTTCAATGAGGAGTACAGTTTAGGAAATCCTGTGGGGCAGTTCTACTCTGTTCTATGGGGTCACTTTTGTGTTGGAAGTGAATTGACTCGATGGTACATTCAGAAATAGATTGTCTGGCCTTTTTGCTGCTCTTATTAAGTATCATCGAGACAGTTCCAACTCACAGCAACCCTGTATAGGGTTTCTGAGTAGCAGCTGGTGGGTATGAACTGCTAACCTTATGGTTAGCAGTCCAGTGCTTATCTTACAGTGCCACACCAGGACTGCTGTAGCAAATGCTTATTTTTACCCTTAACATATTTCTATGAAAATGAAAACAAAAGTAGAAAGAATAGTATACTTCTGTCTCTATGTACTTGCACTTCTGTATATATCTTTTTTTTTTTAACATATGGATGATCCTTTTCCCCTTCTATATATACGTCACACTACCAGACTATAAGGAGATCTAGTAGTGTAGTGGTTATGAATCGGGCTGCTAACCTCAAGGATGGCAGTACAAAACCACCAGCTGTTCTTCAGGAGAAAGGCTTTCTGCTCCCGTAAAGATTTGCAACCTCAGAAACCCTGTGCAGGGTCACTATGAGTTGGAACCGACTCCACAGTACTTAACAACAACAACAAACCAGACTACGTATCATCACTGACTTCAACACATCTAGTGGGAAAATGACGTAGATTGTAGATTACCCATATCATTACTTCTGATCATTGTTATAAAATATTAGATTGTAGAAAAATGTACTAAAACAATGATTTCAGGTCTATTGCATGATATCCTTTCAGTTTACTTTTTTTTGTATCCAATCCTGGGCATAGAAATTTGTATTTGAGTAATTTAAAAAATAATTTTTAAGTAGTTATATATTGAATATTGTGGATTTTATTGCACCCCAAATACCCATGGCAATATAGCATAATTCCTACAAGTTTGTTTTAATTGTATTTAACAATGTCATGGCAAGAACTAAACTATTAATTTTATTAATTAAGGTGGGTCTATAATTATTTATGGAGTCCTTGTGTGGTGCTGTAGGTGAATGCACTGGACTGCAAGATCAGTTTGAATCACAAGGTTTGGTGGTTCAAGCTCACCAGTCGCTCCTCAGAAACCCTATACAAGGTTGCTATGAGTTGTAACCAGTTTGATGGCACTTAACAACAACAACATAGTCATTTTTATGGAAAGAACATACTGAATGTTACTGTTGTAATATCTTATGAATCAGGAACTTCATTTTGACTTGCGATTTTTATCACTTATTAGGACATCATTGTCTACCAAATTTGATTTTGATATTAATTGATGTTTAGCTTAATAAAGCATGTAAATTCAAGGAATATTCAATAAATGTGATAAACTAACAGAAAGATTCCAAAATTGCTTTTGATTCTTAGGTGTAATATTCAAAAAGGAATTTCAGTAGGCTGCCCAAAAAGCTCGTTTTGTGTTGCTATTTTCAGAGGCTGCTTTTACAGGCTTTTCTCCTTGGTGTAACAGTGGCAAGCCGTGAAATGATTGCAAATGCGTTCTGTCTAGCTCTCAGGCCTGTCTCAAAATATCTAGATAATATTTAAATGAATTCTTCCTTTTAGCTTTTGTATATTTTGCTGTTTAAATTATTTCTGCATGTAATATTAAAGTAGGATATTAATTAGCACATTTACCTTGATGAAAAATAAGTGTCATAGATACATCGTAAGCCATCATACAATTTAAAAAGAAAGCCCTCTACTTCTTAGGCACAGAAAAATATTTTGAAAAAGAAATTTTTTATTAACTTTTCTTATGGCGGAGCTCTGTACTACACTTCCACCCGATCGACCATCTTGTTTGTTCTCTGTATTTCATTTCTTAAGAGTAAGAAATAAATAGGTGAATGTTGCATTATCTCCTTATTAACACATTCTGTAATTTTATCATAATAAAACTGATGGAGAACAAATACAAAAGCAACTGAAAATAACTACTGTCTTGATAACCTATTGGGATTTGCCTATTTATTTTTAGTAAATTAATGATCAACCTAGTTTTAGTAAATTAAAATTTTGCACCTTCCTCCTCTGTTTGAATAGAGTGATGATTAAGATAAAATAGTGACTACGTATACATTCAGGAGTCCTGTTGTAGCAATGTAGGATAAGCACTGGCTGCTGACTGCAACGTCAGTGGTTCAAACTCACCAACTGCTCCTCGGAAACCCTATACAGGGTCTGTTTGAGTTGGAAGCAACTCAACAGCACTTAATAACTACAACAAGTATACATTCAAACCATACATAATACGAATGTGCTTCAGAAAGTTCTATTGTCATTTCATTTCATTTTTCATGAACTTTTTTAAGCCCCTTCTTATACACACCTACTCTTGGGTATATGAATAGAGATTAGCTATAAAAAGATCATTCACAGTATATGTTGTTGTTGTTGTTAAGTGCTGTCGAGTCGGTTCTAACCCCTAGCGACCCTGCACAGGGTTTCCGAGGCTATAAATCTTTAGGGGAGCAGAAAGCCTCATCTTTCTCCCGCAGAACTGGTAATAGTTTCATACTGCTGACCTTAAGGTTAGCAGCCCAATTTGTAACCACTAAGCTACCAGAGCTCCTTCACACTATATATATTTACCTATAAACAGTATCATAGAATATACAACATATCTAGGAAATTAGATGGAGCTTGGCTACTTTGAAAAACAGATATTGATCACCCAAAGCATAGTCCTTTTCTTAAATCATTTATATTTGGAAATAATAGTTAATTCTGTTCTCTTATGTAAAATGTGAAGAACACCTAAGTTGTGTATATTTCCTGGTTTGTTTTATCCTGAAGAACTAGATATTAAGTGAGGCTGGTAATAAATCTTCATTAATTTCTATTTATAACTGAATTTTTAATAATTTATTATTGTAATTTACTCCTAGTTAATTAGCTTAATAGAAAATGCACCTCATAATATTAAGTAGATCAGTTGTCATGATGCATTAACATAACTGAACAAGTATTTTATTGGCCAACATTTTAAGGTTAAGTTATAGGAATAAATGAAAATTATTTTTACTGTTTTTAATGACTCAGTAATAATAAGAGGTAACAGAAGGATTCTGAAGTGCTTGGAGGACAATAGGTCAGCATCAAATTATGCCAATATTATTTCTGCTTTAAGAGTGATCTACGTTTTCTGACCCTTTGAAAATTGGTAATAACCAGAATTACCCATTTCTAATCAGCTGGGTAATCAGCTTGGGGTATAAGGACTTACATTTATTTGAAAAATCATTTTTCTTTTCCTTTTCCAGTGAATTAAACAGATGCACCTTTATGAGGGTGGGGAAAAAGATAATTGAATCTGGGATAAAGACAAATTTTAGGGGCAAAGTTGAGAAGAAATTAGCTACAAATTCTATAAATTGAAGAAAATAATTAAAGAATATTTCTAGAAATCCCTTTTATTTTATTTTTTAAAGAAGAAATTCAAGTAGTATTTCATTCGTGTTTTACAGGAAAAGTTATCATAGTCTTGACCAGTTATCAGCTGAAGTTAGCCTTTCTCAGACCTCACTGGATCCAGGCCAGACGCAAGAAGATGGAAAACAAGACACATTACATTTAATAAGTGAAGGTAAGTAAAATGTGTCTGAAATTTACTTATTTGTCAGTGTAGTTTGGTTGTAGAGCATTACCAAAAGAATGACATTGCTGTAGAGCATGCCAAGAATTAAGCTGCTATTATAATGGAAAATAATCTACCTTTTGTTTCTTTCTCCCATATTTGTGGCTCACCTTCTTGAAGGAGTTGTCTATAATTATTATCTTCACTTCTTCACTTTCTATACTCTTTTATTTTTAACTTCAGTTTGACTTTTGTGTCACACCACATTTCTAAAAATAACTTTTATGAGGGTTATCAACGTCTGCCTTACTGCTCAAGTCAGTCCTGTGTCTTCATCCTATTAATTTTCTCTGCAGCTTTTAATATTTGTTACAGGGACTGCCAACTGAATCTCTACCTTTCAAGAGACAGTTCTGGTCTTCTCCTGATGCAGACTAGTTGGGTGAGGCAGTGTCCATAGAAGCACAAGTGTATTATAGGAAAGAGGCTTTCCAGCAGAGATGGGGAGATACTTAACACTCCACCCTGCACCTCATCTCCCCAAACAAAAGCGTTGCTTGAGTTTAAAAGGTTTTGAGTAGGGAAAAAACATCATATTTATTCATAGAGGTAGGCAGGGATTTCCAGGAAATGGTCCCTTTAGGAGGGGCCATGCTAGGTTGGGTATGTGTACAACATTTCTTCAAGATGGATTTCACCCCAAATGCCTCTGGTAAGAGGAACTTATTCTGGGATGTCAAGCATGATTGGTTCTTCAAGACCCTAATTCAGACTCCTCCCAAGGACTGGCATTCTACTTTGCCCCAGTAGAAGTTTTATCCTTTAAAGTTATACCTACAATAGTAGGTAAACCAGTCTGACCTGTAAAAAATCTCACAAGGAAGTGAAAATACAGAATTTTTATGGGTAGTCTTTCCTAGTAGCATGTTCCAGGATGTGACTGCTTAGTTATATACCCTGAACATATTCTGTACATCTATACAATTGCTCAAGCAAGGAGGGGAGCAAGTTTCAACATTCCTCAGGATTTCAGTCACAGTAATTCAGTCAGTAAGTGGCCCAGGTTTATTCCTGATTTTAGGCCCTCTTTTCCCCCTGTAACAGATTGACCATTTCATCATTCTTGAATCACTTTTGATTTCTGATTTGAGTGTTCTGAAAATCTTGTGGATCAACATAAAAGAGTTTTTTTGTTTTTGCTTTTTTCTTATTACTATTTTCAGCTGTGCTCTATTAACATGCCTCCCATTGAGTTGTATCTTTCTGACTTATTTTTTGGGCTACTTTCAATTATAATATGGTCTTCAGTTTCTAAGATCATACTCCACATAGTAATCAGTAATCAGTTTACAAACATAACTCCCCCCAAGATATTATATTTGTGCTTAAAATTCTCCGTTGACATTCAGTGGCAGTCATAAGAAAGTTCAAACTGCTTATCGTGGCCTGCAAGATTCTACATGCCAGCTTCTGCCACATTGCAGAACACTCTGCTTCTTGTTTTCTGCACTAGATCAGACTACTTAGCTACCCTTCAAATTGTTTTCTGCCTCAATTGTATACTCAGTTGTATACTTACACTATCAACAAATAGCATGGTGCTGGCTTTTCCCATTGTTTTGAAGTTTCTTTCAGAATATCTCTGCATGTTAGGCTTTTTATCAGGTTTGTTCTCAAATGACATCTCTTTAAAGAAGGCTTCATTGGCTTTAGTCACTCTATCCCCAACAACACTCCATCCAGGTACTATCTTCATACTACAGTGTGTTTTATTATTATTATTATTGTTGTTGTTATTATTCATAACTCACTCTGAAATGTAAGCTTCATGAGTGTAGGGAACTTATCTGCTTTTCCACCAGTTATTTCCCAAATTTGGACACACAGCAGACAACTATTACATATTTATTGGTAGTATAAATATACAATGAATGAGTGGCATAGGATCTAAGGAATCTGGTGTAGGGGAATTGTTGTTGTTGTTGTTGTTGTTATGTGCCGTGGAGTTGGTCCCAACTCATAGCAACCCTGCATAGCATTTCTGAGGCTGTAAATCTTTACGGGAGCAGAAAGCCTCATCTTCCTCCTGTGGAACCGCTGGTAGTTTCAAATTGCTAATTGTGAGATTAGCAGCCTATAAGGTAAAAAATCAAACAGCTGACTAAGAAAATATGAATACTGTTTTGAACTGAATTTTCTGTTTCCTTTAAGATGGATGTTGAAATTTTCTGAAGGGTGTTACTGTATTCTAATATTTTGTTGTTTTTCTTGTTGTGTTGTAAAGTGTCATCAAGTCAGTTCCATCCCATAGCAGCTGATGAATTTGAACTGCCGACTTTTTGGTTTGCATTCCAGTGCTTATCCTATCCATTGCCACACCAGGAATCCATTCTAATATATTTTAGAAAGTAGTATATATGAGGAGCTTCAAAAAGTTTGTGGAAAATGGAATTACAAGATAATGGAGGACTTCCGGTTTGGGGGCAGGAGAAGCAGAGACAGGCAGGAGAGGCTCCTCAGCAGAGGCACAAAAAAAACTGAGAAGGTGCTTTGCTGGAACAGCTCCAGTGCTTTAGATCAAATATAAAGTGGGGGACATCAGTTTTCAGCACCCACTGGTGGAGAAATCTGACTGGTGGGGAATACACAGCGATTTCTGAATCAATCAGGATGCTCCCTGCATGCCCTTCAGCCTGAGCTGAGGTCAGAGGGTGGGGCCACAGCCAGGGTAATACAGTGCTAGAACCACAGAGTGGTGTCTGGTAAAAGAGGTGTAATGGCTTTTTTCACTTTTCTTTCATCCTTTCCCCTTTCACACCCTCTCTTCTCAGCTTGGACACCTTCAGGTGGGTGGGAGCGCACCTCCAAAAGGCTCCAGCGTTGTGCCCAGAGGGTACAATTTTCCCATAGCACAAACAGGAAATCCCTGAAAGCCCCATCGGTCCCACAAGCTAATCCTTTGGCTGCTTCTTATGATGTCTGACTCTGGGACTCACCCCTAAAGATGACCTGGCAGAACCCTTTGTTCCTGCCTTACTTAACAAGAGACAGCAGGTCTGGCCATATAGCCAAACTTTATTTGCACCTTGTAAAACCCCAACATAAAAGGCAAGAACCAACACTAACTACTATATAGAAGGATGCAACTATATTGAGAATTACGCTGTGCACACGCAGATAACCAACAGACCTTCAGAGATAAAAATAGTGGACAATCTTTCTTCCATTCATTTCTTAATATCTATCTGCTCACCTCCATGGGTGGTGACTAGAGGAGGGGGCTAAGCGAGTGGACACCCCCACTCACTGCTGGATGTTTCTACTATGCATGCACACTGGCCTGCACTGCCAAGGCTACAGGACAGTTGGCTACAGTTTTATTTTGTTTTTGTATGGTGGTTTTTGTCTCTGCTTTTATATTGTATCTGTTTTGGATACTTTTGGTCTCACTTTTTCCATGGGGGTGGGAGCTTTCTCTCCCTATGTTACCCAAGAAGAAATAGCAATCATGGCCACATAGCCAAGCTACAAGAATACCCCGTAATATCCCACCATCTGGACAGGAACCAATACCAATTGCTAGGCATTACACAGATAGCCAACATGTGATAAGATAACTTGCAGCTGAGTAATAAGAGATGTGAAAGGTTAAGCCTGTCTCCAGATCACATCCACCAGGAGACACTCAGTAAGCTTAACAACACAGCAACATGCATTCATTTAATCATTGAAAATGCACCTAACTACTGAAAATGTCCAAGAAAAAACAACAAAAGATCTCAGTGCATGTCCAAAAACAGAGAAGAGTAACTGAGACAAACAAGCTAGAGGCAGACATAGTCTTCCCTTTAGAAGAAGAGCAGGCTTTGGACATGCCTGAGAAGGAATTCAGAAGAATGATATTAAGATAAATCCAAATGCTCAACAGAGGGGTTGAGGAAAATAAGGAAGAAGTCAGAAAATTGCAACAGGAACAATCCATCAAGATAGATATAGCATTGGAAGCAATTCAAAACCTGAAAAAAGAGGTCCAGATGATTAATAATAAAATATTAGAAATTGATAATGCACTGAAAGGACAAAGGAGTAGAATTGAAGAGATGGAAGCCAGAACCAGTGAACTGGAAGACAAATCTCTCAATACTGCTAAGATATAAGAGCAAGCAGAAAAAAGGATAAAAAAAAATCTGAAGAGAGTCTAAGATTCATGTTGGATAACATGAAGAGGTATAACTTAAGAATTACTGGCATTATGGAACAGGAAGTTCCAGAAGTCCACAGAGGAGATAGTTGAGGAACTGCTGGAAGAAAATTTCCCTAACATCTTGAAGGATGAGAAGATAAGCATTCAAGAAATTAAACAAACCCTAGGAAGGCTATCCCCAAAAGAAAATCGTCAAGACATAAATCAAGCTCTCCAAAATCAAAGACAAGGAGAGAATCCTAAAAGCAGCCAGAGAAAAGAGACGTGTTACTTACAAAGACAAGTAAATCAGATTAAGATCTGACCTCTCAGCAGAAACCATGCAGACAAGAAGGCAATGGGGAGACATATATAAAACCCTAAAATTAAAAAAAAACTGCCAACCAAGAATCACCTACCCAGCAAAACTGTCAATAAAATACAGTGGTGCAATCAAAACATTCCAGGATAAACAGAGCTAAGAGACTTTGTCAGAGTTAATTCAGCACTTCAAAACATCCTAAAGGGAGTTCTTTGGAATGAAAACCAACAAGAAGAGACAACAACCAGAGATTGACAGACATGGCAACACCATCCGGAACTCATTCGACAGATAACAGAGTCCAGAACAGAGCAAAATTACAACAAATTCAATATTAAAATTAATTCAATAATAATAATGTCAAAGAAGGGAAAAATATAAGAACAGAGATCTAGGTGGTGAGGATGTGACGTAGATTTCAGGATACAATAGACTGTCTTAAATGGAGGGGAAAGTTAGTACACTGTAGGGTAACCGCAAAGAAAGTTAATACTTCACAACGTA